TACATACTGTTGGGTTTGGTAGACAAAATTAACCCATACAGTATAGTCTCTTGTGAGGTTATTTGTCGTAAATCATGAAAAGGACTTCCAGACGATGATGTGAGCTTTCTTGAAATGAATCTGAATATCTTTGAGAAACGTACAGATATAAATTTCCCACATCGCTGCCTTTTCATCGTCATATATATAACCAAAATTCTTAGTAGTAGGTTTAAACAATTCTGCTTACTTTAGTTAATCCATTATTGCTGTTTTGCGAGTTCTCAAAAAGCAGCATTCATACATAAATATTGTCCCACTGATTATTGGTTTCACTGTTACATCTATAGAGACATATCAGTATTAGGATAATAAAGTGAAACCTGCTAACTTGTACATATATGAGAGTGCTTGGTGTGATAAGTCATGTGACCTTAAAAAACACTCAAAATAAATGTTTTATCAACTTAAAAATCGTCACTATAGCTTTCCTTTGTCTATCTAATTAAACTTTCCATATTTGTGTTATTGAAATGCTTAGGCTCCAGTAAATCGCTAATGAGTTCCTCACTTACAAATCTATTACTGAAATAGCTATTCATCTTAAGTAGACACCCTTGGAACAATTTAAAGGTAAGCATCAGAATTAATGAGTGAAGTGAATAAATTACTGCAATCAGCTTATACAGATTATTTTATTTTTAAAATGCAAGTTACTTGTAAGTAGTTGAAGGTTATTCTACAAATAATACAAAAAACTAGGGCATGTAAGTCAGTGAAAAAGAACTTCACAGTTCTCTGCAGTTTTATGAGATTTGGTATTATCAAATGTCGGTTTCAACATGCTTGACCTGTACTCATATCTCATAAGTTGACTGTCTGATTCCAGATTTATACTTCCTGCTGTAATGAAATTCTATCTTGGTATTCTATCTGGGGCTGACTCAAAGCAGCAGTTACTTTCTTCTTTCTATGGGTGAATAAATAACTTGAGGGATGAAAAATCTTGGTTGTTTGGAAAGTCGAAGCAGGTGGCCTCGTATTTTCACGGCTTTTGTTTCTGTGCTTTGTTTTTGAACTTTCTCCAGACAGTAAGTTGACCACAGCTGCACATATATCGTTCCTCATTGTAAATGTTGTGACTGATAACATTTCACCTTCTTGATTTTGGTAAGCTTATGATTCATAAACTTTTCTCCCAGTAGAAGATAGAATGGTTGTTGATTATTCTACCTTTTCCTTTTATTGTCCCAATAGGGTTATTTCTTCTTATTAAACTTCTTTGTGTGATCCTGATAGACGCAGAGATCAACCACTCATTCGTTCCTAATTGTAACTTCGTAACTTTGAATGCTAGGACTAAAAGGAATGCGAGGACTTGACCAGGCAGCAATCTCATTTCTGATGTACTTTGCTCATATATCCAGTTACTTGAACTGGCTGACTAGGGTATTATGTTTATGCAACTTTTTCTAAATTATTGATCTCATTACGGTCTGTCATTCTATATTTAGCTAAATTCTTATGTTTCTTTAATGTAACTGGCCTCGGTTGGCTAGCCTGAACTATGCATTTGACCTCACACTCCTTAAATGGAATTTGATAGATTATATTATTTTGCTTCGGAGGTGATGAAGATACTCAACCAACAACAACAACAAGCACCAATCACCATGAACGGGAGAAATCTAAAGGAAGTAGTCTCTTTCACCTACCAACTAGGCAGCATCGTTACAACTACACGCGGCGGTGGCGACACAGATGGGGATGTCAAAGCCAGCCAGGGTCGGAAAGAAAGCAAGATAGGCCTTCATTAACCCGAAATCAGTGTTGAGATCTACTGCACTTATCATAAAGCATGAACGTGTTCCGTATTTTGAAGACTAATGTCAATGAAGTCAGTGCTTCTGTGTAACGATTGAGAGACTTGGCGCATTACGAAAAGCACTTACTACAAACTACCGATGTCCATCAGCAGCTGCCGTCCACGCTCACTCGATACTGAAGATGAGATGGCCAGAAAGAACAAGTAACAAGGAATTCTGACTGGTGACGAACCATCCAAAAAGCTATCGCCCAACAAATATGCAGAAGAAAGCGGAGATGGATGGGATTGGGCATACACTGACTAGGCCGACTGGGAACATCACGCGCCAGGCCAGTTCCTTGAGTGGAGGCGAAACGGGAAACGACGAGTTGGGCGTCCGAGGTGAGGGTGACATTGAGGAGGTGGTGTGAGGAAGAAATGAAAGCTTGTGGTAGTCGTGGCGCCAGGTTGAAAAGACTGCAGAGAAGAGAGTGCAATGGAGGCGTGTTACTCAAGCCCTACGTTCCACTAGGAACCCAAGGGAAAATAATAATAATAATATATTATTTTGCTGACTTGGTTGTATTGGGTGGGTGGTATAAAATCACTGTACTTAAGTAAAATATAATTAGGTGGGGACAGAGATTGATTACTAAATCTTCGTTCATCAAATCAACACTCAACGCATGTAACAGGAATGATGCAACACCTGTACCAAAGATATGGAAAGTTTTATTACCACTGAAAAACAAAGAATATGAGGTGACAGGACTATAAAAATCAATTGTTGAAAGTGGTGTGATTACATTGCTATGATCAAGAGCAATAGTATACGCTGGAAATGTGATGAAGTGAATAATACTGTATCACTGTGTGCTGTAAATCCACTTTACTGTGTTGAAAATCAGAATTTCTTCTCAAATTTTTATAGTATGAAAATAATATGCCTTATTCGCTTTCATAAAAATCATAGCTATTTTTTTGAATAGGTATTATACTTCGAAAGCTTAAAATAGAAATTAACAATAATTTATTTCCTAAAATGCACTGAGATAAATGGAGACGTTTTCGTTATAATTAATCAGTGCTATATAGAAAAAGCATTTTAAAATGGTTTCTTGTATTTTTTTTATAGGATATACAAAGTAGTGTAGACTAATCCTGACTTCGCTTCGCATTCACAGGGTTTGTGACTTTATTCCGAGAAGAGTTCAAGTCATAATGACAGATAATCAGAAACTTTTTCCTTTTTTTTGAAATTTCATTCAAAATGCAAAGTGGTCATAGAAAATGGACTATATTTCTTCTTCAAAATATTTACATTGAGTGAAACATATTTTGACGAATAATGCATGTTTGGCGAAAGGTAAGAAATCTAATTGGAGATGTCGACCGTTCACTCATACGAGGCCTCCACACCCAGATCGTACACGGCTTTCGTCACTTAATTGAATTCCCACTCTGAATCACTAACGTGCAACTCATACTACCAACTAACATAACCTACTGACAAGTTGTCACCACTGACGGTGATTTGTAGGTTAAGAATGTAATGAGGTGATTTAAAATAGAGACGGAATAATGACAGTCGTTTTAATTGTTGAAAATGAATTCATTTGAGAACAACTGTATTCTAGGAGATTTAAAAAGTGATGCAAATTCCATTACGAAAGTAATCTTGAAAAAAGGGAGAAGTTTAAAAGCTAAACCATGAATCAGTCAACCAATTAACTACATATTGTTTTAGGGTGATCATAATGTTGTCGAATGTTTAAATAGTTATCTACATGTAGCTGATGTGACTACAAACTATGGGAAAATTAAAGACGTCCCAATGACTTAATGGATAATCTGGAAAATACGCTGATATTTAATCTAATAAATAATGTGGTTCACTGTGGTTATCAATCAAACTATACAAATTTTTTCATTACTATTTATAGAACAGCGTTTCTTAGCTTTTTCTAAATGTTAAAAATAGCATCTATTTGCATAGAAACTCTGGAATTCAGTGTTTTATGATTGATTAGGTCTTGTTGATCTGCATCAGTCTACAGTATACGTCTACATATGTAACTGTTTATAATTAATCAAATTATCAGTGCCTTATTTTTTCTGTCTTCAGAATAACACTGCATTAGGGATGTAACTATCCGCCTTTCTGTATAAATCATTTGCAAAGTACATGAATCCTTTAGTTTATGAGTAATATTGGTTGAGTGTTTCAAAACTTATATAAAATAACTTACATTAAAGAGAAATTATAAATATAGTACAATAAACTGTAGTTTTTTCGAATTTTAACAATATGCCCAACTAACCGATAACTTGGTTCTGACACTAAGTGAAGGTCATAAAAACTGTATAGAACCAATATAAAGCAACTTCAATCAGATGCTGATCGTCATTCACATATTTAGTCTACAAACAGCCTCCTTTAGACCTAATCAACCATTTTTTCAATTCAAATAAAACCGCATGGTTATCACATAATAATATCTACGAAACACTTTCCAACTGACTGCAAAATTAAATTATTTACTTGTAATCACGGAGGTATTCTCCCCCAGCAAACAGCTGAACGGTATTTACTTTAAGGTAAAATATCTAGTAAGCGGTATACAGTGATGCCCATGTGGTTAATGGAACAGAGATGCCAACTATATAGGCAGTAAGGTGGGTTATATTTCAAACGCTTACAGAGACGCACATTAAAACCCCTAAAACCGACTTGCATCATAGAAATCTTGTAGCCTTAATAAATAAGATGCGGTAGAAACTGGAGTCGAACAGCTGTTTTCCGCTCAAACTTACGCCATAAGCCATGTCTCAAATCGAAACTGTCAAATGCATGTTTTTTAAGAACTGAGCAAAAAAAACTAAATTTTGTCTCAATATACTTGACATTCTCCAGAAATTAGATATAGTTAGCTAAATATTACAACACAATATTACTCTACATAATATTTTATTAGTACTACTAGAACTTATCAAAGTAATGTTTGTTACAGTGAATACTCTAAACAGTTGAATGATCAGAAAATAAAATTCACAATAGGAAAATATTAACTAACTTACGATAAATTAAAGCAGTTTAATAAAATTAGGAATCATAACAATAACTGTAGAGAAGGCGCATTAACAGTTTTTCTAAGATTAAAATGATGAAAATAATAATCAGGGTATGAAAAAAGGAAAACATAGAGAACAAATGTCAAAATAGTGCAACTGATCTGTCATTCGGTGCTTGAAACTTCCACCATGGTACGGAAAATCGATATTGTCTATAAGGACAATCGTGATCCAACAAGGCTAAGTAGGTTCGACCATCGAATATGTAAGGTCTTACATCAGTACAGTTTTCTGTTAAGCGACATGTAGAGATTAAATTAGCAAAAGCCTAATAAAAAGATGAAAACTAACATTAACAAAAGTATCAAGGTATAGAGAGTGAATTTATTTTGAAGTACTAAAGTACACATAATTGTGGAGTCAAATGGAGAAAATCAGCAAATCAAAGTGGATAATGGTTAAATCTAAATCCCATTGATTAAACTCTATAAGAAAATTAATCTACACTAATGGGTTTTCATGAATGAGTCTGGGATACGAAAATCACCGACGTCAACGCCACAACGGCACAAATGTATTCACCCAAAGAAATCTCAAGCTTGAATATTTGCACTTACCGTTATCTTCAAATTGTTTATTCTCCCAAACAACTTTATCTACTTTCATATCACTCTTTTCCTAACCACATGTTCTTTTTGTACTTCTGTGAAGTGTGGTAACTCGAGTCAATACACCTGTTTATGGGGTTCTGCTTTGATTTTGTCAATAGAAGTCAGAATTTAGGTGAAGATATATGTAGGCTGAAATCAATTTGTACTGATTATAAGTAGATGATCGTCTCAGCACACTTGTAGAAGGCGATCACTGTTCATTCTACTGCAATTTTTGAAAGTTTCTTTCGAAGTATATTTAAGTCTAAACTACAACCATCTACTTATGCATTGAAGTCACCTTCTATGAAAACATGTGAATGTCTGGCTTTCAGTGAGACTAATATTTCACTTTTTAAAGACTGCAGTCAGTGTAGGGCTAAAAGAGATGACAGCGTCCCGATTTCTTAGTTAGTCTCAGCTATGCCATACAGTTAAATAAAAGGTAGAGGACTGTCACCTGATATCAAATTGATAAGATTACTATGTGTCCTATATGCCCTAGTGCTATGCATACACCCGCGAAATCGTGAGTGCCAGAGAGTGGTCTTTAGATACTAGAAAGGTGAATTTCTTGGATTCACTACATTGACGAAGTGATGTCAAGTAAACAACCACACTTATGGCCTGTGTGCGCATCTAGATACAAGATGTGTCAGTGACTTCAGATACCACCTTTTTGGCTAAATAGGCTTGTTATCCGATTTGATGAAGAGTGCAAAAATTAAAAGCACGCATATACAGCGTGAAGTGCGGTTTCAGATCACAACGGTATTTCACAAGCTAGAAACCCCACGACAGGTAGCCGAATTAAAACAAAGTAAAGAGAGACAGACAAACGACATGGATAAGGTCACAGAAAAGAATCATTTCAAGCTGCCATACTTGCAAGCAGTTTTTAAAGAAGTGGGTAGAAAGTGTTGTATTGTGGCAGACAAATACGTATGACTTTACAGTAGGAATATATGAAAAGTAATGAAAATATTTAAAACTTCGGATGCATAAAGGAGAATATATATCTGCTTGATTGTGGATGATTCTGAGCCGTATCACCAAGTGTCCGCAACCAGTGATTCCTATATTCTGAGAGAGCCCATGCAGAGAAAGCAAACATTCTTAGATGGCTCAAGCTAACAATCGGAGGCTTTAAAGTCTGTTCCCATGCCCCAGTTTGAATATATTTAACTTTCTTCCACCCTAATAATATTCCGCTTACCTTAGTGAGTAGAGGCAAGAGGTAACTTGGTATGAGTAACACCCGTACAAGCTTAGTCGGTGAACACTCACGGTATAATCGACTGACATACCGTCCTTGCTTATACTGAACGCCTAAAACAATCACTTACTACTATACGGTTTTATCATATACAATAAAAGCCAAAAGCGTATCTATGGTTACAAATCTGTAGCCTTCTCACATCAGTTTCATTGGCACTGTCTTATTACCTCATAATAATACAAGAATGGCTGCTGTGTTGTTGTCCCTTATTAGGTTGTCGGATATCTCACCGGTGACATAAATGGCGTAAGGTGGCAAATGAAAGATGTGCCTTTCGTACCCAAGTTGAAAACTTGTCAACAACCAACCCATTTGTGTTGATGCGATATCTAAACAACTGAAATGGTCAACACATCCCATAACTTCCCTTCAGTATCTTTAAACCAGTCCTGAAGTATTATACTACATTTGACAGGTGCAAGACAAATGATAAATATGTTCAGATTTCTGCTGAATTCATTAAGAAGAGTCCGTAGTCTGTTAGCATTTTCGCCTAATAGGACTTTATCATCTGCGTAATCCAATTCAATCAAGCGCCATCCTGGGAATAATTCACTCCCCGTAAAATAGAAGGTACCTAATGTTGTAGACGGTGAAAGCCAGCATCGCTGGTGGAGATCACTTGTTGTTGTCACTGCGGATAACAACTGTCTTAGATTTCACATGTCTACATAAGTTGGCGTAGAAAACTTTGACAAGCAATAAGTCCTTGCTCGGTACTCTCTTAACTCTTTGACGCTACCACAATTACTCCCAGTTGACAGAGGTGAATGCCACCTAAAAGTGAAGAAATTTACCAAGTGTCAGGTGCTGGTAAGTATACTTGTGTTCCAAACATGTAAAAAAGGGAAGATCTTATTGACGCACTTTCGTTAGGGTTTGAAGCCTGCCTGGCTTTCTTAAGCTTGTTACTGTTAAGCTTCTACTATGTCTCATTTAAGTGTGGATCATAGGATCTTCTACATGATTTTAGTCAAACTGAGTCCTCTGAAGTTTTCACAGTATAAATTTCAAATGTAAAATATGTGTTTCTTTTGTTGTATGTTCTCATATGTACCACTTATACAATGAACTTCTCAACTTCTAAATGAATGAAATTATGAAAGATTAAGACATGTCTGACGTAAGTACCTCTGATTTCTATACACTAGTTAGTACCTCCAATACACAGTTTAACCATTTCCTACTTTCACTATACAAGCTTCTGGTGGCAAACTATTAGGTCCCACTGCTATGCCTTGTTTGAGGATTGAAATAGCCATCTCAGTTTTAAAGAGGGTTGAAAGATCAACATCTTATTCCCATTCATGTTATGGACACATAGTGCACAGCTTAACGCTGCTTAAAGTTATTAACACGGAAATACGAAAATAACTAAGAAGACAGGAAATTAAATTGTCTATAGGGAGTCGAAGGAACTTAACTGACGATAAATATGTAACAGTGTTTGGCAATTTTCAACTTTTCATACCATGGAAGTCTTCTGCTTCCCAAAATACCTGAAAAACTAGATGGACTAGTAAGGGTGGTTTTAACAACCTAGATTTGTGACCTCAGAGCTCAAAACAAATCTGTTTATGGTCAGTCATAAGTAACCTAAAATATTCTTACTGTAATTCAGAGGACATTTGAATGGAAATACATAGAAATGGCCTTCCTAGGATATTTCGACCTAGATATATTTCTTCCGTTCATGAAAACAAATCGGTATTATTGGAAGTCCATGAGGAAGGAAGGTGTGAGTTAGGTTTAGGGTCAACCTTTCTAAAGCTCCTTCCAGCTAATGAAGGCAGAAGCGACTCGCTGATCATCTATGGAAAACATCATTACTAATCCTACATCCAGCTTTACATACAGTGAGGCGTAGTTCTTGAATTTTCACTATCAAGCTTCCTAATCATATGATGACGATAAAGGCTTCCCCCCACCTATCCAGTTTCCGACAGATCTTACTCACCTGGTGGGACCCCGCTGGGTTAGTTCTTTTGTGGAGTCATGACTAAGCATTGCTGAGTAGTCCAAAGCCAAGGTGTAAACAGCTATCAAGTACACCCACAGTTTCAGTGCTTTTTCAACTGATGTCATTGTATGAAAAATACTACCTCGTAATAATTTTCCTTTTTACAGAATTAGAATGACTGAGAACTCCCCATACAGCGTAAAGTCTAATTCCTGGATTTCTAGGTTGCTTTCCAGGCAGTAATTTAAAACTAATATCGGTAATTTCTGAAATTATTTACAATATATACATGTGAGTCATTACTAACTGTTAGTGAAGAATGAATGTAAACTGAGTTTATAGAAAATGCATTTAAATGATTGTTTCAGCTATTATAAATTCATTTATTTACATACGTTATGATCGAAGTGATACAAAAACACTACTTACAATACACGCTGATTCTTCGAGCTCATTGCCCCATATGTAAATACACTCTAAAGTGAGGTTGGTGATCAGTGATTCAGCCAATGCACAAAGTCCAAGCCCTTCAATTCACACGACTGTACTGCAAGACTGGTGAGTAAGAAATATCAAAGTTTGCTGCTATTAAAATTTCTTGAAGAAAACAGATAAATATACTGAGTAACTGGGAGAAACAGCTTTACATTTCGTCATATTCCCCTATAGTGAACTTGAAGATACTTGCTTGACATACCACTACGAGAAATTCAGTTGTTAATACAAGTCGAACTGGGAAGACATATTTCTAAACTATCTTTCAAACAAAAATTAGGCGTTAACAGATACCTATTTCCGCATCCTAAATAAGAAGCAAATCTATAGTAGTGTAATCGTAGAGGTAATATAGTGATAAGGTCAAAATATTTGTTCCTGGTACTTTATTTTCAATAGAAACATAATGCAGTCAAATTATTTTAGCCAACCAGAATTAGAAAGTGCTTTGCAATAGTGGAGCAAAGATAAACAACGAAGCTTAGGGATTAACATGACCAGCTTACTTTGAAAAACACAAAACTGGAACAGTAGTAATTGAAAGCCATATTAAATATAAAGGTCAGGAGATTAACTTTGGGAAATTTCCTCAGTTGAGTTGCAGCACCACTAAGTAATAGAAGGAGGAAAATCTCAAAAGTACTTTAGGCTTTACAGTATGCAGGTGACGTACACTACATTCTTAAAAGCTATGGATCATCACATCACTGAGATAGACCACCTTTGACTGATGTACAAATAGGTTATTGTTTTTATTTAGTTAAAGTAAGTTTCCTCTCAGGAAATCAATTTATAATTTAACTTAGATCGTTGAAAAACGACGAAAGTAAATCTGACTGAAGGACTATGAAATGAGAAATGAATAGATAGGACTACACTTTAAGTTTGTAATCATTTGGACACAAAACACCTACAGTTGAAGCTTTGACTTCACTACAATAAATGCTTATGCTTTATAAGTAATAAAGTTAATATTTTACTTTATTAAACCATATTACTTACACTTTGAGATGTGTATTATAAAGCAATGCATTAGCCAAAGCTTCAGCTCCTTTGCACTGAAGTCGATTGTAGGCTAAATCCAATATTACGAGTGGACAATTCAAGCTAATTATTTCGATAAAGAAATTGCTCCATCACATGAAATACGATTGCTATAAACAAAAGGTACACGTTTTAATAATATTTACTAATTTGCCGGTAAGGAAATTAAAGGATCTCTACAAAAATGTTAAGATAAAGATCATACTAAGTTCTGAAAAAATGTAGAAGAAATACGTGACTTACACACCGATGACCAAGTTAATATACAATTGACATTTGAAGTGACTGATACTATTTTCGATGTTCACTGATAAAAAAACTACCTTATTAGAGGAGTAAATATATATAGAGTTTGACAGTTTAGTCAACTTGATGCTCCTTAGCTTTATGCATTGACCGAAGGTATTTAATAGAAATGAATCTGATTATCTGCAATGAAAATTTCATGTCTCCCATTTAACCGTTTATTATTGAATCGCAATGCTTGCGTTTCTCTCTGACTTTACGTTTATTTCAAAACAAAACTCAATCCAATAATATAATTTCAACAAATAGTAGGATAAGTTACATTTTGCAAATGTCTGATGAGTTGATCGTTCACGTTCTGCGCTAAGGTGAGAAATATGCAGTTTTTTTTGAGATAACATAAAATTCACTCAATATTTGCATACCAGCTAACAGAGCATTATACTTAATATAATGATATTCTGATGAACGGTTTCCGTTTGCTAAAAATTGTAATTTCTTCTAAAAAGACTATTAATAAATATCATGTACATCCTGTAAAATAAGTCAATCCTAAACTTACGCTTATTAATGTTGTACTTCGCACTTTGTTTGCTATTAGTGTACATTTAATGGTTGAATACTTATGCATAAACATCCACATACCACATAACTACTTCTTGTTAGGGACAGCCCTCCATTCTATCTTTTTACACCTGATTTCTCGTTAATATATAATAAAATTATCTAAATAAACCAAAAAGGCCGTTTTCACGACCTTATTAAGTTATTTACCGTATATTCAGAGCAGACTGACATATCAGGGAATGAAACAACTTAATGACTGATCAGCTAAACGATTATTATTTATAGTAAAGGCTTTTGACTGATTAACTGAACGTTAATAGGGATCGGAACAAGACGATAGGGTAGATGCTAATAAGCTACTTTTGGATATATGTTAGAAGAGTGTAAAGTCGGAAAACTCCAAGCATTGTTTATTCAGTTAGATTTATGATCAAATTGACATGGTACTTTTAATTATTTTTTGTATTGCGATTTAAAACAGAACTTCAGTGTTAACTTAGTTGTATGTTGGTATATTGAACAAGCGACAAAAATACTGCACGGAAGTCTGTCCTGTCATGTTATATAACTGTGAGATATAGTCATTGAAAGTAGAGGATGTGAAATAATCACAGGTTTTTGACCACAGGTGTCTTGATAACATTGATGATATTTGGTAGAATCATCATGTTAGCAGTGTCGAGATCCGGCAAAGTGTGCTAGGCAACACAGGCAAGTCGATTAATGAGGCTTTAACGTCATCTGCTGAGGTGGCTTGGACATGTGGTGCGCATGTCCAGCCACCACCTACTTTTAACAGCAGTGCTAGCAGGAGTTGAAGTAAGATGGAATAAGATTCGGGGTGACCATACCAAGGTGTGGTACCAGTCTGTCTGTTAGTTTGAGCCGTGTAGGGAGGTATGAACTACCTGGCTGAGGTCCTCGAGACGAGAGGAATCAGTGGCTGAGGATTCTTAGTGACAAGGCTGGAAATCCGTGGCAGTGATGCATGTGTATTCACCGCATAACGTCCTCTAAAGCTTGAACACTTTCACTAATTCTCATTTTTAAACTTGTTCTCCTCTTATACACATTCACCTACTATGATAAAAGTCTTTTTCCGTCAAGTGTGGCTGACTGAAGTGATGCAGTCTTACTCGAGGCTCTATGTTGGCTTTGTCTGTCTTTTTTGAACATAAATTTTCCTTATGACGACTAAGTCCAGTAATCATTTGCAAACAAATTAAATAATTTGGCAGATAACCGAAAGAATACTGCTGACTGGTTAGTGTGAAAAAATGGAAATAAGATAAAGAAGAAATTCACTTACGCGCTAATATCCAGTAGTTCTAAAGTATCATTGCGTTCCATTGCTTCAGCTAGACGTGCAGCACCAAAATCATGCATATCACACTTAGATAAGTGTAATTCCTTTAAAGTTCTATTCACCTATCAATAATAGGTATGTAGAATAAAAACGGAGGTAACATACTATTACTGAGAGTGAAGAAACTGCAATATCAGATTCAGTGGAAGCAAACTAACTCATATTTCTGTATTTATCATGTTTAGTGTTACCGAGTTTCCCAGTCAGTATCAATACTTCTCGCGTCTGCACGCCTGCCACTGTTAGATACTGGACAACGAACAAAAGTAATACGCTCTAAGGCTCGCAGGTAGTGAGTTCCAAAAATCCAGGTGAAATGTAGACTGTTCAAACTGAAGCAGCTTCATCAGTCTCCTAGGTGAGCAAGTATAAGTTTGATGAGCACTTAAACCAGACTATATATTTAATGGGATTTACCTTTGAATAAATTATACCATAGGCATTCATATTAGGAACATTATTCAGCCTAAACAGTACTTGTATAGAGATAAAAATTAACCTCAAACCTCTCGCTTTTGATGCAGCGAAAGTAAAAATAGAAGACCAAAAACAGGATGTTATATCTAACAAAAATACATTCAAAACCTTTTAACCATGAATTTCTTGAATCAGTTTTTTTGATGAAATAATCATATATCCTAGTTCCGACGTCACACTGAAGGTACACAGTAAAAAAATGAAATTAAAGATTAAAAACAACGAACATGGTCAAAATATTCATGCTTTTAGTCAGAAACAAGAAAACTATCCAGCTCTGCATTTTTATCCTGCGAATTCGATAACTAAGGCATATTTTTTTCTTGGAGTCTTATTCTTTTTTAAAACATAATCATCAAAGTTGCATACTTAAGCTTTAAGTATGGTACAAATGAATGGGGTGTAGCCTATCAGTATTCATAGATTTTTAGCAGTTTCTTATAAGAGTTCACAGCTAGTATTCCTAGGATATCATGAGTGAATAGACTTACAAAGTCATAGTTAAAAAGTGCTACTCAATAGTTTATCAATCAGTGCTATTATTGCTGACCAATAAACAAAACTGAATGATTATTATAAAAGCTTACTGATTAACATTTCATTGAAACGTAATAATATGCTACTATGGCTTTTTTACATGGTTTCTAAAGTTCAGACATGCAAGTATACTTCGATAACTTTTTCAACAATTAAAGCTTTCCTTTACAATTATGGTTACACATAGTAGGCCATAGGGTTTTTGATCTTAAAGTTTTGACTCGTCAGTATTGTCGTTAAAATTAGGTGAATTCTATGAAGAAGTAATCGTAAGAGATCACTGGGTCTCACTTCGATCCCCCAGCAAAGAAGCGGTTACTCTTCAATAAAACCTGACACTTAATATTGACTCATGGTGTCTACTATCGATAAAAAGATGAAAAAATTATAGCATACCAATGTAAATATAATATATCAAATAAAAAGCTACATTTGGACAAATTATTATCATTTGTCTTACACATAACATATCAGCCAAGTGTACAGTTGGTTCCTCCTGTAATGTCCATAGTATTTGCCGATTTAAATTAATCCCAATAATAGATTTGTTCCGTCTTAAAACAGTGGCAAACGCAATACAACTGGTTATATCCTAGAAAAATGTAAATCCAGAAGAAGGGTTTAGAGAGACAAAATAGTGATAAGACAAAAGAATAATGGAATGAAAAATATGAATTATTTGTAATTGTACTTTTTGACTTTTGACTTTACGGGACCAAAACGATCGATCTTCTAGAGATGCCTGAATATTGCTATAACGTTTACTCTGGTTTCATTTATTGAATAGTAGCCGGTCGTGGAACAAATGATGAGTATTTTTTTCCCACATGAACTCATCAATATTAGGAATTTCCATTTTTCTACGTGTCTGAAATGAAATGAAAACCTAACAACATCCGACGAGTCTAAAAGAGAGCAATATATGTCCAGCAGGCTACATTGTCAGTTGCAGTCGAAACGTCATTGAGGAAAGACTGATTTCGTCTGCCAGTTAGTGCATCAAAATTCTCTGAATTAAATTCATATTAGTGAAGTCTGTGAAAACGTTTTCTCCCCAATGATTTATATTGTTTACGAATATTTAAATTTGTAAAGGAATAGTATGAGTTACTTTCTGGTGTAAGACTGTTAGCATATCTGACAGCAAGAAATCTATCCACGTCGAATAAAAGCATAACTAGTTATTCAAGATAGCTGTCTTAAATCAATTTAGATCCCAAATGGATAGCAACCCAGTCACTGCTAATTAAAATTTTGTTAACATCTAGTCTTTCAAGTTTATTCTCATTACCTATAGGATTAAGATAAACTGGGGTAAACATAATTTTTTCTTCAGTTGTAATAATATTACAAAAATTAGGCAAGTAGTTTTAACATACGTCTAGACTAAATAGTTTATTGAATAAGAATCCTTCACGATTTGTTTGTGTTGAAAGGAATTTTGAACTATGCTTAAAAAAACTTTTCAAGTAAACGAAGTGAATATGTCTCACAGATTACTATGTATACCCTGCCGGTATATAAAACCAACCTTCTTATAAACGTAGTCATTTGCTATAAAAAAATTGCAATAAATTTATAGTTGTTTTCATATCATACCGTCGTTGATTGGACCAACTTGACTGGTCTCTATTGGCATATGAGCTCCTGTGCGAATGCTTCGATATAACTTGAGTTCTAATTATGTTTATGATTGATTGTGGCTAGCAGCGGAATCCAGGATGCGTATTTCATCCTATTTGGGACTCGTCAGCTGGATGTATCTGCTTCCGAGTGAGTGATGTTGTTCCCACCAGGATTTGGACTCGGGAGTGATCGCTTCAAACGCCAGCGCGTAACCTTTTACACCATCGAGTCATGATAGCCACTTCTAGTGCGACGGGTATGGTTTTTGTATAATTATTTTTATATCATACTGCCGGTGATTGGACTTACTTGGTCGGTCTCTATTAGCATATGGGCTCCTGTGCGGATGCCTCGATATTGCCTGCTTTCTAATTATGTTAATGATGGATCCAGCTGACGAGTCCCAAATAGGCAAAATGCGCATCCTGGATTCCGCAGCTAACCACTATCCATCATTAACAAAATTTATAAGTGTATCAGAATATCTACTACCAAAATAGACACCTACAGTTCTATTGAGTGAAGCCGTAAGTTAGTGAACCAGTTCTCAATCCAGCATCATAAACACCATCTCGTTGGGATTGATTTTAGAAATATTTTTTATTCATCGAATTTTCAAAGTAGCTCAAGCTGACACTTAGTGACAAGTTTCTAGGTCATACAAAGAGGAATTCAAAGCACCTAAAATTGCATGTTTTGATGGTTGAGTACAACAGTTTGTAGCAGTTATACAAGTCAATCATAAATATTTTCACCTGTTTACATATTTCCGCCATAGCGGCTTATTGTATGGCTATCTCTTCTTCTACCTGCAATGGATCCCAGTTATTTATATTCAATTATTCGCGCTGATTTACACATCTTTACTGTTAGGGATAACGATTAAATATTTCGTCTGTACCTAGTGGTTCGTTTTAAAAACCCTCGATAATTGTCATAAGTGTTTCGTCCAAGTTTTCATCTTTACAACGAATCACATTTTTGACCGTTTTGACTTCTTGTGTCCACCCTGTATTCAGTCATGATCTTTTAATATGTAGTTGTGGCAGCAGATCGCGTTGCATATTAAATGTGTTGAGATTAAGAGAAGTCACAGTGAGCTACTACTTCCTTTAACAATCTCCTGAGGAGTTAAAATCAACAATCTCATTTATTAAATATGACTGATTTCTCGTTTATCATAAATAAAGCAGTTGTACTAGGGTGTTTTATGCAGGAAACGTAATCCACCGTGTAACATAACCTGCAGTTCAAATTTTCATTTCACCTTCAATCATCACTCAGTATAAATACTAGTCTGCCAAACCACGGCTATCTGAGATAGTCAAATGATAATCAACATATTTATAGTTATGAGATTATGAATAAATATTTGTTTTTTAATTCCATTCAATCTATTCTTAATATTAAACTTTCTTTTTACTTCAACTGACCTGATCACATTCTCCAAGGTCAATGAATTCAAGGGTCACGTTAACCTGTAATGCCTGTGCAAAACATAAACCTCCTTTAGATCCGATAGGATTGCCAGTCATTTTTAAGATGACGAGATTTTTATTTTTCTGTGAATATTAAAGACAATGAAATTATTAGGAACGCAATAACTCTCAAATTTAACTAAATAATAATAATACTATTCCACTGTATGATACATCTAATAAATCAACTGAAATGGAATTACATTCTATCACAGTGCCAAAGTTTTACTCATATTAATAATTGTGAGAATGTTGAACGAATGTGCATACAAAAAAAATAATTTCAACATGTTACTGATGAGTCCGATAAAGTGTATGGAGTTCCAATGAGTAAATATAGCTTTTACGACTACTGGCACACTCGTTATTTATGGTGGTAATATACACGGCCCCGGAATATATTATTATGCGCATAATAAGTTACCTAAAGTTAAATTCACTAATCAACGATCCACTTCATGAAAATCTTAGCATCCACATTTTGGCCACCACTCATCAATGACTATGAGTCTTAGAAGAGTATGGTCGATACCACTATGCGATAACTGCTTCTAAGTTATCCGGAAACAAACTACAATGATTTATTGTTTACATTCACGTAGTAAAAGTTTTAAATGCAGAATGGTTTACAAATAACTATGAATAAATGAAGTTTCATTTATAAACTGGAAAAACAACTAGATTGAATATTGATTCGAAGCCACGAAGGTTATTGAAAAGATAATGAACGCCAAACAACTAACGAAATTCGATAATTAACTCACTGCTTATTAATAAAATAATTCCACTTATCATTCAACTCAATTAATAAAATGAATGCATTGCATTGAATGTAATAATACAGCTAGTACAGTAATTGAAATTCGAATTAGGTTCCTAAACGTTGACCATCAAAATCGCTGTAAAAGCTCTTAGCATAAACAGTATACACAAATATGAAACTACTCACAATCTTTTAAAATCTTATCGCTTATTTTATATGCATAAATAATAGATCTGACTTTAATGGAATGAATAGAATAGTACCGTTGCACCAAGTTATTATACTAAATAAATTTTATATTCTGTGGGGTTAGCGGTTAAAAAAATAATTTAATCACAAGGATAAATTTTCAGTTAAAAAAACAGATGACACTGATAAGACAAGAGAATCATAGGTAATACAGTGAACAAATAAGACCAAATGGATATCATGGCGAAACATAATGCTTTAATGGTATGCACAATAACTGAAACTTGACGGTTCAGATAAATAGCGTTATATTAGTAAATGTGAACTTAAAGGTGATTGGATATAACTAGCACTATAATCTGCCGGGTGTTCAAAGCATACCTTCAATGAAGATTTAATAGTTATTTACATGAATCTACAGGTTACAGAAACCATAGACTAGAATTACAACTAACCATAGTCATCTAATGAAATGATAACTTTGGAGTTATAAATTCTAGAGGTAACACTTTATAACATGTTGAACATAACACAATGCATCAGAATTGAGATTTAGTTCTTCATTGGAAATCGAACTAAGAAGAATTGAAACCATAAGTTATTGGCTAGTTTTTGTGTAAAATAGATATACACTGGTCAGTTATATACTTTATAATATATACAATCCTCCTACAGAAATAAGATATTTTTATTTACTATTTGTTAAGAGTCTAAAAAGTGTAGAAACTCTTCATAGATTCTTAACATAAAATATTATACCTCTTGTTACATAGGTGGCGCACATGTAATTTAAATTTCACACTCTTCATCTTACCTTCAGGGAATTAGCCAAAAATTCCGCACCTTCTTCGGTAATATCATTGCTCATGAGATTTAATTCTTCCAATAAGTTATCAACCTTCAAGTACAACGTTAACATAACGAAATATAATACGAAATGAAGTGAGTGCTACTTTATTCTACTTTTTCCCAATTAATATCAATATAATTATTACAGAGTATTCAAAATAGACATACGGACAGATTAACGTAGAACTTAGCATAAAAGTTTATCAGTTCTTAGAACACAATAACATGATAAACACACCTCTATTACTAAATAGGATAATAACTTGGGGGTTTATAAAGTAATTTATATGTTTACGTATTACGGTTTTAGAAGTAATCCTCTTCATGAAACTTGACGATGAAACATATATTTTTGTCAAAAGTGTGTCACAACAACCATTTTATCCAAATATCTCATTATGTTTCAAGACTCATGAACTCATAGCTAAATATTCGTGAATTTTATTTTGTGCTCTTTGACAAGGTTTCTTAGTTCTCATAAATCAAAGAATAATATTAAAGGTCCATATGCATTAATGGTTAAGTGAAAAAATTACCGTGATATGGTTTGAACTTGTGATAATGCAACGACTGGTTTAGTACACAAGAAGACCAGCTGTGAGAAGCAGTTTTTAATCCCTTGATCTCAAAACGATGGAAAAGTTAGACTTGAGATGGTAAGTAGTAAGGATTTAAAAGTAATGTGATAAGTAAAGCAATTAGCACTTCAAAAATTTAGTTCTGCATTCACCTTCAATTATAATCTAGACAAATAAACTATTTAAAAATAAATGCCAAAAACTCATTGATCATCGGATGAATTTAGATAATATTTACAATTTATTTACATACTTGTTATTCTCCATTGTTTTGTTGGATCGAATTGTTCGACCTCTATTGGCATATGGGCTCCTATGAGGATGCCTCGATATTACCTGAATATTAATTATGATAATTTGGTTGGTTGTGGCTAGCAGAAGAATCCAGGAGGCGCGTTTCATCCTATTTGGGACTCGTCAGCTGGACGTACCTGCACCCCAGTGGTGTTTGTTGTTCCCATTGAGATTCGAACCTCCTACCCATAGCTTCAAACGCCAAGGCGTTATCCACTATGCCATGAAGGAACGATAGCCACTTCTTGTACAACGGGTAGTGGTTATTACTATTTATCGACATACTTGTTATTCTCCGTTGTTTTGTTAGATCTAACCGTTCGACCTCCATTGGCATATGGGCTCCTATGCGCGTCGTAGATTCTTCTGCTAGCTACAACAAACCAAATTATCATAATTTTTACAATGTCTACTCAGTTTTCAAAGATGTTACCTGTAATATTCTTCAGTGATTTTATCGCATTCAACTAACGACCAGTTAGCAGGAAATTTCAAATATTCAACCTTCAATTTGAATTAGTTATCTCCAACCAAATTAAGTTGAGAAATACCGGTAAGATTGCATGAACGAATCACGGTATTTTTTTTAAGCAAAAATTCCATGTAAATACAATGTCTCATACCGAAGAAAACTATTTAATTATAGGATAAAAATTGTTTCTATCACAAAACAAACCTGTAATCAAACGGAGAATGCAGCATATATATATATTGCTTGACAATCATAAAATACTGCATAAGGATAGTGGAAATAATTTTTTGTTGACATATAAAATATGAGACTTATTCAAAAGATGTACTAATTTATGATAGAAATGTAATGAAAACATTTAGAGTGTTCTTTGAAATATACCAACTAGAAAAAAACGTGTTGGTATGTATGTGCTTAGAAAATAGTAATTCTGATTCCATTTGTAAATGGTTCACACTGAAGTGCAAAACGAGGTTTTTGTGAGTACTAATAGGTGAATATGTGTGCACATAAAAACATAAGACATTTTAAGGCAATCTAGACCTAATTTCAGATATTTCAGCGTGTGTGCACAACACAATGATAAAATCAACTGGGATGATATAACTTTCTAATCACTGTTGGTGTAACGTAAGCCTTTCATATAAGATGATAATCCTTATTTAATGACTTCTAAACTGAAAAAAATGGCCTAGGCTTCATTTGTCTGTTCTGTTTCGAATATCATTTTATCAAACTAGTCTCTCACTCTATTTCTCTTTATTTCCTGTCTGCGTTTTCGAATGTGACAATTTTGAGTGTGGCACTTTTGTTTTACGTTCATTACTGAACCATCTGTATATCTTCATTACCTTGGTATTCGTATTTCCCAATGAATGGAATAAAAGATAATTTTTTTCAAACCGATCTTTCTCTATTTATTGCCACTAGCTTTATCTGTATATCTATTAATCTGATACTAGAAGTTCGTATTATTTTTTGGTAATCTGAGATCTGCAATCCGCATACTTAAGAGTTTCAATTATACGTATCTTACCACTACATTATGCAGGGTTTTAAGGTTTCAATAGTAGATGGATTATAATTTATAAAACAGCAAATTCGTTACTTACATTCAAAAATGAAGATATTGTCTTGGCTCCACTATCTGATATACGATTGTAGCGTAAATCCAACACTGTAATGCATGGTTTAAGTGAGAGGGCTAGAAAAAGTGGTGATAAGTCAGCATCAGTTAATCGAATGGCATCTAAATGATAATTATTGCCACAGAGCTTTAGATAGATTGCGAATAGTTTGTCATCACTATAATAAAATGGAATACGGTTGCATCAAATTACTACAATTAATTTACAGATATCTTGTGATTAAAGTAAACGGTATGAATGATGAACCTTTCAGATGTCAGAAGCTGCATTCGAAATTAATATGAACTAAAAACAAGCAGATCAAGCCCCAAACTGTAATAATATTGTCAACAAGGAACAAACAGCAACACTTATCATATTACATGTTTGACAGCTATTAAATCTCATTTGAAATAACTTTGCGAGAGGAAGGTAATTTATTAAAAATAGGATGATCAATTTGCAAATGATTTACAAATTTCACAGTTCACTTTGAAGTTTCTTGCAGCTGAGTAGTTTTTCAAATGGATAATTGTGGTGTCAACAAGGTCACAAGGTGTGACCTCTGACACAACAGTGTCATGAGTTAGCAAAAGACATCACTACTGAACAGCCTGAATAGTTAGAAACCACTCAGGCTGATCTGCAGTATTTAATCAACCAGATAAGAGTGGTCTAAACATCAGATGGACATTTTGCTCGTTTGGGTTCGAGCTCGTCAGCAATGTACCCGGACAAGTTTAACCTGTACGGCCAAATTGTCCGGATTGCCTGGATCTGGCTTCCTGATTTGTAGACCATATACAAATTGATCATCCTATTTTATGTTAATCAATCCATCCAAGTCAACTAGCCAGATCCAGGTAGTCTGAACTAATTTAACTAGAGCTGAATTTGTCCGGGTACACTGCTTATGAGCTTGGCCTCAAACGAGCGAGATGGCTGTCCGGTGTTTACATCACTCGGATCCGGCTGGCAAAATACTACGGACCAACCGAAGTGGTTTCTAACTACTCATATTGTTCAAGAGTATATCTTTGACCAGTTTATTCAAAATACTAAATGACCCGTAAATAAGGTCTAAAGGATAACTCTAAGGACCAACCTAGCAACTACTAAAAAAACGAATCGGTCCTCAAAATTTTATCTGAAAGGTAGATTTTGTGAAAAATGAAACCTAATTGGTTATCTTTCAGTTGTTATAGTGGTTTTTAAAGTCACTCGATCTAAATGCTCTTATCGTTATCGTTTTGGTAACAATCTATGTCTTTATTCTCTCCATTTTATTAAGATATTAAATTGATGTTAAGGTCACCACAGCAACTGATGAGATGACCAATAACTTTTCTCTATCTGGTGAGAAACTGTAATCTAAGCTTAAATTCCGAAATCTGCTTTCAGGAGTGGCTAGCATGGTCTTTAAAGTCACTCATTATTGTTGTGTACCTCAGCAATGGAGATTTACCGGTCAGCATTATAGTGCCCAGAATATTTTAAAAAACTGACTATGTCTGATGCAGAACGGCAGCAAAAATGCTGCTTTTTGTTGTGTAAATGTTTTCATCTTTCCAAAATTCATATGGAATTTTTAAAGATTTTATTAAAGGCTGCATTCAAGTAGACTAAAGATTACTAAGTTTACATACACTAAGACACTCATGAAGCATGCGCCTTCAGATTAGCATACTATAAACCTCTGAGAAATTAATCCTTACTCTAAAGTCGAAATTCTCAGCATTCAGTGCAGCCATGACACATAATTAGTCTGATCCACTCGGAGTTTCAAAAAGAAATTTCTAGTTGTTATTTATTGTAGAATGACATCAGTTGGGGGAACAAAGGAAACCTGGGAGCACTGGACAGCTGTTTCGCCCTAGTATGGGACTCCTCGGCAGTGTGCACCCACGACCCCATCAGGAATCGAACCCGCGACGTCAAGGTTCCGTGGCCAGCACGTTACCATTGAGGACGAAACAGCTGTCCAGTGCTCCCAAGTTTCCTTTGTTCCTCCAACTGATGTCAGTTTACGATGAATAACAACTTGAAATGTTTCCAAATCCCCACAACTGCCCTGAAAAAGAAAATTTCAAATATTGCAAATAAATGTAGAAACCCAACCATATGCACGACATTTCTACGTCTTTCTTCTTTCATACACTTTTGCTTACCTTGATACCGCTTTCCCGCTCTTTGTATGGTACTGTGAAGTGTGGCAAATTGAATTAATGAACTTCTGTGAGAGGTTCTATGTTTTTTCCCTATCTGTCTGATGTCATACAAGAAATCCTTACGCAGTCAAAAAACCAATGTATGTTGCCAAAGTTCTAGATCTCTTAACCTCTACATCACTGTTGTCTGGATGATATGGTTTTCTGAGAATTTGTAGCACATAAGACACCTATCCTTAGTTTCCATGAAGTGACGTATAACCAACACTATACGCTATGAATAATGATGAAACTGCAGTCATTATGCTGAAAATAAGTAAAATATAAGAAGTGTGGAAGAAAATAATAATCTCTGATGCATTTCAAAACCTTTGGGTTTTATGAATTTACAGTCATTGTTTTATAATGAACTGGAGTAATAAAAACTTGCAAGCCAAAGAACAAATTATTTTCTCAGTGGCAGGGAAAAATGTATTCTTCAAGCATAAATAAAACTGGGAAAATCCTGCACTTCTAAAATACACCGGTCATCATAGTTAGCTGAAGAAAAAACTCAAGATTAGTTCTTAAATGAATGCAGACATTTTAGAAGACAAAACATGGTGAATGATTCACCTAACCTACTCTTCAACATCTTTACTGAAAGGTACATCAAGATAGTCTATCAATTCTCAGACACTAAAGAAATGAGACGAAGTCTAGTATCTCTTCTTTTAATAATTCAGGATTAGAGAATATTTCAAAAGGTCTACAAGCTTCTTACTACTTCCTATAAGCAAGCGATAATTTTGAATTCTAGATATTATTAGGTAGCTTTAAAACCATGGAAAAATACTGGAAAAAACAACGAAGCATTAAATTTAGTTTGCAGCTTACTTTTTGTCTAAATCATATTCCATTCTCATTATTTTACTAATAAAACTTGAGGCAGGGGTTGGCACATCTTTTAAGCAGTCTAAATAGGTTGATTCTAATTCCTTTAGATTATCCAAATCTAATGTAATCGCCATGTCAGTAGTTTGTTTCATGTAGGATATTAATAATTCTTTTTCCCCATTGTTATTCCTTGTAATCAAATACTGTTGAGTTATAACTGGTATTAATTATAATATGCTGGAATAAACAAAAGCAGGCATTTGAAACGAATGAGTAACCAAGAGGCGACACGGTCATCGAGACTTTATTGTGAATAGATGACCCTAAAAGAATTCAATGAGTTTCGACACTGTGTTTACCGAGATCACTGACCTAGTTTAGTGAGACTTTACGAGAAAATTTTCCCTAGTTTGGTTATTAGTCAACAACTAACTACTTTCGCTAAAAAATTAACGAGCTGAGATTTGGCAAAAAACTATTTTTTTGTATGACACTAATGTTATTAGAAGATGAGTTTTACACAAACAGTGATTATTTTGTTCAAAGTAGTCAATTCTGAGGTAAAAGAAAGCTAGATCAACGGTGTGACCTGATGCTTATCATGTTTAGGTATTCAGACATTTAAAGAAAAGCAGATATTCTAGTTTTCTATGAAATCTAAAACGAGTACTCAGTATCCATAAGTAAAGTAAATGGTACCGTCCTCATCCGTAAACATGTGTTGCTACTTAAAACAAGAAGAAACCAAATGAAAAATCAATATCAGGGTATCACTTCGCTTAGTGTTGAGAAATTACACTCACTGATAACGCACAAAAGGTCCCGTGGGTTAACACAGTCATTTATAAGTATATACACCACCATGTTACATGAAGTAATCTCATTAATGACTTCAACACATCATTTTTTAGTAATTTAAATACTTAACCTAGTACTCATTCTTAAATTCACATTTTGCAAGCAGTGATTGTTTGTAGTAACATTTCTTTCCTGTCTCCAAAAGATGCACAAAAAATTTATTTTAAACGTCCTAAGCAGTAATAATAGACCCCATTAGCTTCATAGGTTTAGCATGTCAGAAGCATGATTATTAACTGTGATCACCAAAAAACTAAGAATAATAGTTTGCCTATTCCTTAATGAGGATGGCGGGTGCTGATTCTATATTTCCTACCCAATGACACTTTCCTGGTTCTAGTGAAATGCTACGTTCACAGTTTTAAGAGTTCTCAGGAGGAAAACTGTGACTGTATTTCTCAAACTCACGCAAGAAAGGAAAAGCTACTACATTGGAAGTAGAATTTAGGTAGGAACGACTAAACTGCGGAATACACTTATACAGTCATCGGAAAAAAACAAACAAAATATTTTTCATTGATTATTATTATTATTATTATTATTAGTCCCTTGGGTTCCTAATGGAACATAGGGCTTCAGTAGCACGTCTCCAGTGAACTCTGTTCTCTGAGATCTTTTGAACCTGATTCCACGACAGCCCACAACCTCTCATTTCCTCCTCGCACGATCTCCTCCATGTCACCCTCACCTCGGGCGTCCAACTCGTCGCTTCCCATGGGGATTCCACTCGACGGCCTGACGCGTGATGTCCCCAGTTGGCCTTCTCAGTGCATGCCCAATCCATCTCCACTTCCTCCTGCATATTTGTTGGGTGATAGGTTCTTGGTCGGTTCGTTCCCAGAGCTCCTTGTTGTTTATTCTTTCTGGCCATCTGATTTTTTATTGATGAGATGATTAAATTGTTGAGCGAGAGTGTTATCTAACTGTTGTGCATTACAACTTTCAAAATATGCATTAATGGCACGTAGGTAACCAAATTACATCTATCTAGATTGTAGTGCCCAAAATATATCCTTGAGGTTTCTTAAAATGAAAAAATTTAACAGATTGTTTCCCATACAAATTCTTAAGACAATTAGCCTCAGGAATTAGAGCTTATAGGTTCATATACGTGTAAAAATACTTTAGACAGATATTCTATCAGTCACAGAGGAATTCAAGTAGTGATTTCAAGACTGACTGACCAATCACGCATGCTTACCAGAAGATAATCCACGAAATGTATGATGGATGGTTATATCACACAAATGTAGACGTTAACTACACTTTGTGATTTCGGATAAATATTCAGTAGTGTTGACAAGTTAGAATAATTATACACCAAACTACACTCTTAAAAGGAATGCTACTCTTAGTCTTGTGATTATATAATGCTAAATAGTGTGGTAAGAACCTATTTAAAGTTGCTCATGAAGGCACATTCAAAATTAAATTTTGAGGAAGTTGTGGGGATTTGGAAATATTTCAAGTTGTTATTAATCGTAGACTGACATCAGTTGGAAGAACAAAGGGAATCTGAGAGCACTAGACAGCTGTTTCATCCTAGCATGAGACTCCTCAACAGTGTGCACCCACGATCCTGCCAGGAATCGAACCCGCGACATCAAGACTCCGTGGCCAGCACGTTGCTATTAAGCCACCGGGTCAGAATTCAATGATCCATATTTCCAACTTCTGTTAGCTCACGATACAGTGCAAGATTAAGTAGAAAATCAATTAATCATTTATATCATAAAGATAGTTATTTATAAATAAAGCTTTCTAAAAGCTCGTCAGTATAAAACCTTGTTATTGTTTCTGTAGATAAAGACATTTCTTCCCATTGTAATTATTCCTTCTAGATATTCAACCAGTTTCCAACTATTAGTAATTATTACTTTTTAGCATTTAAGCGGTGAAACTGGATAAGACATAATAATTTCTAGGAATTGGGGCGTGAACAAAGTGATTTTTGGGATATTGTGAGAAAAAGAAGTCAGATTTATCACTGTCCAATATGACAAAAATTTATGATTTTTCATCTGAGGTTAAATATTATCTTACTTAGTCGAAATGCGGCAGTGATAACCGTATGATTGCATATATTATTCTGTGTTATTCACAAGTATTTCAAGCTAGCAAGCTTATGGTTTTGTGTGATGTAACTTAAATTTCGATAGCACATTTTTCTTTAATACAATTTCTGTAACTTCTTCCACATATCATCTGACTATCATTCCGTAGCAAAGGAACTTAAGCTTGGACTAATTTGAATGGTGATCTAATATTAGTTTCTTTGTAGGATCTGCTTAAAAATATGGTATTTTCAAAGTATTGGTAACTGATGTAATTAGAAACCACCTCGATTTTCGTGGTTTGTACGTGATAAATGTAATTATTGTGTCACAATTTATGTGGTTCTCATAATATTCACTTCACTTCGTTGATTTTCTGTCACCGTGCTGACGTGATGGCTGAAATGATCATCAGTATTGTCCGGTTTTGCATCGTCAATATCTTTCAACCATTTAACTTTAGTAAGGATAATTTCATTGTGATCACGTACGAAAAAAAACAGTAGGCCCCACTTGAAGTGAATGTTGTCATCATAAGGTCGTCACTGTAACTATAACGACATAACCCATAAATACGGTAAAATAAATTGAATGCTGTGAAGCGCATAGAGTAAAGACCAATCAAAACATTTGATCTCTACAGAGTTATGAACTTGCATCTATTGATACTAGATTGAGGTATAAATGTTGAATACAACTGAACGCAACAATCCTGTAGAGGTCAACGTATACAACCGGAACAAATGTTTTGTAAGGTAACTAGTGATTTTGCTTGGTTTACAGAAATCACTAAGTATTCCAAGTTCAAAACTTGTGAACGAGCGGCTAATAACCTCTAAACAAAGAAACAAGTGCCACGTCACATGATGGCTCCAGCACATGCGAGCAGTTACACAAAGCTGTCAAACCCCTGTTATCTTCAGTGAACATGTTTATAGACATTGAACAGGGTGCATTGTAGTGCTGTTCAATTCAGTCGATTTTTTAATAGGTATTCTGATAGTTTATCAGTGTCATTAGTGTCCTAGTTTTGTGAAGGGCTTTGAAATTTTGTATTCGTGCTGTGGTTAGGTTGACCAACAAGCCGTTATGCCTGACTGAAATTTTCAAACACGTTAAGCGGTTAACATTATTAACCACTTTGAATTATATTGTGAAACGAAAAGTAGAAGCAAACCAATCTTGCAGTAAAGAGCGAATTTACGGTGTGATAACTGTACAACAAATATACTGCACTTTACCTCGAAATAAAATTGAAACCACATTTTATCCGTGTCAATCAACACGAACGTATCTACAAGTAATATTAGTTAGCTATGAAGTATTAAGCAAACTGAATAAACTGTCAATTTAGGCCAATATAAGTTTATTTATGAAGAGAACGGAAGCTGAAAAAATATGCCTGGCAGCAATAAGATTTAGGAAACAAAAAGATATACAGCGACCACTTTTCATACCTTAAATTACACTAAAGAGGCTTTGGCATGAAATGAATGACCATTGTATTACTGCGGAGTTCACACACAACTGAGTCAAGTAGACCACATCGGTTATTCAGCCAGTGGGGTGGATCGTACGGATACAGAACACAGACCTAACCGGTGAATAAATAGAAAACAGTCAGTCAGAGGTACTTTGATAAATGCCTAGACTTTTTAAGGATTCAAAATCGCATATTGTTATTTTCCTTCGAAAATTCAATTCTGGTACAGCCAATTAACATAGCCTTAGGAGCAGCCTATTCTGTATGACTAACTTACTCGGACCCTTAGACAGATAGGAATAAGCAATAAGTTGTAGGAAGCTGTTTGCTACAGATATACTGTTATATGTGTAATGATCTTAGTCAAGTTAACCAATCCTAGTGAACAGCTACAAGCTTTGGTAATCAAGTTACAAACAGTTGGTTGTGGATATAAGGCACATTGCCTTAGGCCCTTTAGTTCCAACTAGTATGTAGCAGGTTCGAGACCCTCTCTTTCTACGAAGGATTGATAGTCAGGTAGTATATTTGGCCCTTAATAATAGGTGTGGCTTATTGCTCATTTACCAACCATGCATAGAGTAAAGCGCAGCGCTTATGGCCTAGTTATTGACAAGAAGACATGCGAAAATTTATATTAGCTGTAGAGCTAAGACTAAGAAAAGCTGCTCCATGAAGGCGCTTATACGCGAATCATCATTAGTGACTGAAACTGGCTGACAAAATCAACGCAGAGCCTAACACACGAATGTATCGG